GAAGGCCCTGGGAGCGGAAGCTATGCCCTTCTGCTGCTCACCCAGCCAGGATGGGGCAGAGCTGCTGTGCTACCTCCAGACAGGTGGCATGAACCAGCACGACCCACCCTGGCCACCCCGCACCCCCTAGACGAGCAGCGGCTTCATCCTGCGCGCCCTCCCCCCCACCCCCATCCCAGGTGGACAAGCAGCGTCAGGGCATGGGGGTGGCATGTGCCCCCAGATCAGGGTGGGCAGGGAAGCGGGGGCTATGGCAGGGCTGCAGCCACCCTAAAATTCCCCATACATGCCCTGCCGCCGTTCATTCAGCCAAGGCAGGGGTGGGGGCTCACAGGACAAAGGGAGGCTTAGGCAGGGCAGAATGGGGGGGCATGGGACAAAGCCGTTGCTCATCCAGGAGGCAAGGGGAGGCCAAGGCGGCTCTTGCCACTGTGCACCGCTTGTCTGGAGGCAGCGCAGCGGCTCCACCCCGCCCCAGTTGGGCGAGAGGCAGGAGGGCATAGCCCCCACTCCCAGCGCCTTTTGCTGCCCACGTGGATTACAGCCCAGCGCAGCTCTGGTCCTGTCTGCCCCAAACAGATCCGGGGGCATGCCCCCCCCCCCCATGCCCTCCCAGAGCAGCAGCTGGAGCAGCAACCAGAGCCGCCAGACAAGCCGCTGCCAGACTGGCAGCGTACACTGGTGGGAGCTGCCCCACCCCCTCTCCAACCCCCTCTCTGTGCCCCCACTCCCTGGGTGGGCAGCTTTTGCCCCAGCCCCAATCCCTTCCTCACTTTGGGGGTGTTGATCTGGCCCCCCACGCCCCTTCCCTCCCCCCCACCACAAGGGTCTTACCAGCTGGAGGCAGCTGTGTCAAGCGTCATAAATTCAAAATCCATGTTGGAACCTCAAAACAGGGTGTATATTTATAAAGGTCATAAGTGCCATTTATTGTAACTCAAAAGGTTGTAAGTCGAGGACTGCCTGTAGTAACTTGCATATAGGGCGATTACTACAGGTACCCATAGACTTTAGTTCATCCAGAATTGATGCAGTTTACCTCTTTTGAAACTGCTGCAACTTTTAGGACAGGTACTCCATAAACATAAGCAGCATTTCTATATATACTGGTATATAGTATAAACTGTGCATAACATCAGTCCAAAGCCAAAAGGTTCACGATTTACCATGTAGGTCATTGGCCTGGGCCCTACCAAAGACAGCAGCATTTCAAGCCATGATGACCCCACAGCTCAGCACTGCTCAGCATGTATATGTACTCCAGATACCCCCTACAAAGGATCCATGTGCTAATTAGCCCCTGCTCATGACTGGAACCAGGTGTTCTTGTCACGGGTCCTGGGATGCTCCAAAAATTTAGATGCAGATGAGGCATGAGGCAGCCTGTTCCAACTCCATTTCATAGAGGGTGGAGCCACACTAATCATACGTGACAGGCTGAGAGAGGGAGTGACAAAGGGATTCTGGGTAAGCTGCTTGGGGCTCCATTTGATGGTATTTGTCAGACATTTAAGGCTGGTTAAAAAAAAAAGGCTCATTGGAAATGGGAAGAAAGGCTCAGCTCAGCTGTGCGCATAAAGAGGAAGTTGAAATGTATTCAATGTGTAGTGGCTCACCATGACTTGTAAAAGAATCAGCTCTGAAAGAGGCCAAGTGCAATGGGCACTACCGTATCTTATTCAGGTGGGCTGCACTAACCTATCCTTGTGATAGGTTACACTATCAGCATCTCGGCCCTTGTGGCTAAGAACAAATGCAAGCATTTTTTATACCATATGCAGGGTATCAGGGCTGGCTCTGGCCTTCTGAGTGCCAGCCTAGTATTGCAGTATCTCCAGGCACAGTGCCAGTTCCCTCTGGAGGGAACACCCACCCATTTTTTAAGGTCCACACCAAAAAAAAATTTTCCTGTCAGTACGTCTGCCTTATGTGGGTCATGTGTTTTATAAACATGCACAGTGTTGGCTGCATTTAATCAACTTCAGACTCGGTTTCCATCACTGAGAACATGCTGCTTTTGGCAGCAGTTTAATGATAATGTATTTAATAAAGTTTTCTTGTTTGGGAATGTAAGATGAAGACCTTTTTTCCCCATGTTGATTGCGGGGAACTCATCTTGTATTCGAATAAATATGGTATTTGGTTTGGGTGGTTTAATTAGAATTTCAGATTTTTGTACATCTGTTGAACTTACAGTCACACATACAGTCTGGAATAAAAAATGTGTATGATATGCTTTCTCTTTTTTTTTAGCCCATTCTCATTGGCTCAGCAGCTGTAGGATCTGGTCTGACCTGGCACAGAACTCTTCCATTATGCGCAGTTGGAGGAGATCATAAGATTTTCTTTTGGATAACAGAAATGTAAATAAAAATCTATTGTGATTGTTAAACTTTCCAAATACTGTCTTTCTGTAGTAAAATACAAAGAAATCTAGTCACTCACGTATATTTGTTGAGAAACTGTAAAAACAAAGTAACCAAAATATGCAGACAAAACAATTTAAATCCCTTTGCTTTTGTATAGATTACATATAACAAGTTTTTGTAAAGCATAGCTCAGGGACCAGATTCTCTTCTACCTATTGGATGTCTTAGTGGACTTAGATGCTGTGGTACAATTTTGTTCTACCCCGAAAAATCTGTTAATGCAGCTAACATTTGTAACACAGTGGGCGCGTCTAAATGAGATTCTTACTAGGCATTAGCCTAATAACACTGCATAGTAGTGCGTTACAGCAAAAAACGTACTAATAGTGTACTGCGCAAGGTTATTAGACTAATGCGCAGTAAGCATTGCTAAACCATGTGCCAGTGCTACTGTGCATTAATTCTAGGTACTGCGTATTTAGTTAATATTTTATTAAGGAAGTACTAAACTAAATGCACAGTATCTAAAGCGCATTAATGAACATGTAGACATGCCCACAGTCATACTCTTAAGCTTGAGTCACAAAATAGCAACGAGGAGGAAGACCAACCCACCTTTTGCATTAACTGTTTTTTGGAGACTGAAGGAGAATGTAACATAAACACACTTAGGCACCTAAATTCACTCATGCACCTGATGGGTGGTATAGAATTGGCCCCATGTCTTCAGTATTGGTATGTTTTTTCCTTTGAAATCAAATGTGTGTATTTTTCACAATACATTTGTTGAGATGTAAGAGGTTTTTTATACAGTCTCCATGAGACCATGTTCAAGTGACAGTTTTGTCTAAATATGGGGCTTATTGCTAGATTAATCTATGCCTTATGAAGATCTGAGCTGTATTAGCAGATGTTTCTGATGCTGTCAATGCAGCCTCTGCAACCAACCAACCGCTTCTGTCCACTGGTAACAGCAAGCTTCCATGGACATCGCCTTACTAAAAAGGAGAATGTTTGTTTTTTATCTACTGTCAGAAAATGTTATTCTTAAGCTATCAGTTTGCTATAGTGAGCACATTTGCTGAATGTACCTGTTACTGATAATACTGAACTGGTTTATTATATTAATAATCTGAGTAATCATGTTTAACTTTTGCCATATCTGGAAGCTACTACCTATGAGAAATCAGGAAAATTGACTTATTTTCACAATATTAAGGGGGTGGAGAAGGAAATAATTTTTTAGCATTTGACTCTATATTAGTAACTAGTAGACCCATCTGATTTGGATTTTAAATTATTTTAAACTAATCTTTTTATGTTGTCATGAACTTCACATGAAGTATAACAAATAGCCTGAGAAATATCCTTTTGATATACAGTTGTCTTTACCCAGCCTACAAGAAGGGGAGGGGCATGACGTGTCTGCTTTCTAGAAGTATGCTTTTCTTGACCCTCTAACCCAGTGGTTCTCAACCTACGGGCCACAAAGACATTTGACAGTGTAGAAATGAGAGGTATTACAGAATATTGATTTGTACTGCATTACTGTCAGATAACAGATACAAAACAACATTTTTAAATGGATACTCAGGAAGTAAGTTGTGTGGGTGCAGCCCACACAACACATTGAGAGCTGCAAGTGTGGCCCACTGTGGCAAATAGGTTGAGAACCACTGCTCTAACCCAGTGTCCAGAAATGAAGAAAAAGCCAGAGGGGGAAGTTGAGCAGTAGAGACAGGCTTTCTGTCCCCTTAGATAGCTCCAGTAGTGCAAACTGGCTTTCAAGCTTTCAGACATTGAGTGGTTCACTCCACAATAAGGTAGGTAAATTTGCTATAGCAGCTCCTGTGTTATTGTTCATCCTTACTAGCAACATATAGGGTGTTGACAAAGATAAGGGGACTTAACCGCAGCTCAGAGAGGGTTATTTTCTTCTCTGACCATTATGGCAGTTGGTGATTGCTGAAGTTATAGTCAGGACCATAATTTAGAGCAACCTTAAGTTTGCCTGGTACACAATTATGTACCAGGCAAACTGGTACACAACCATGCCAGTATCAAGACAGCAAAAAGCTAGCTAAAAGGCATCTTTTAAAAATTCATTATTCCTTCCCAATCTTTATTTCTTTCTTGAGAGGTTAATGTTTTAATCTCCCACCAGAATTTACAAGAAACATGACCATGAAATTTGTCAAAAAATAATTTATTATTCCCACCACTGTCTGAAATTTGTTTTTCTCCAAATCAGACGGTGTCATTTTCTGTAAGAACTGGAGTTTTGTTAATCTTGTTCAGAAAGGTTTAGCAGTTTTTTATTTTGAGTGATCATCGTGTGATTCTCCCCTATTCAAAGGCATCCAAAATGTAGAGAGCTGTTTGGGGGCTTTGGGGTTTTTTTTGTCTCTTTAATTCTGCTTTATATATATCTTTTCCTTTATTAAGTCCTGCTCCATTCATATTCTTATACCACATCTGTCTTCATTGTATTTGGGTATCTACATTCTATGTACAGCATACTTCCTACATTGTATTGATAGTTGCTGAGCCTTGAATACTTGTCTCAGCTGTTTTCTCATTTCAATAGCAACTAATGCAATGGACATCCTTAGGGCTTTTCTGGTCTTATGGGTTGTAGCTTTAAAAAAAAAAAAGAATCATAACCTCTCTTCTACTTGATGTCAATGGTTGGGCAAACAAGAATGAGTTTTACAGTACGCAGTTTTCTCATGTAACAAGCTATTATGAGCAAATTTTAAAACACTATAGCTTACAATGCACTGTTTCAAGAATTGTTTCATTTTTTATATTTATCAGTAAAAGAAGAGCCTTTCTTACAAATTCTATTGATATAGCTGCAGACCAGTCAGTCATTTTAAACTGTATGAATTTTCACATGTGCTTTCAATTAAGTTTAAATTGCCCTCTTTTAAACAGGGAAGTCATATGTCCGTGTGTCATCACCATTTTGTAATGCAGTAAAATTCTGATTATTTCTTCGTTGACTCATTGCCATAAAAAGAAAACAGCTACAAAAACTTAACTATTATGTTTCTAACTTAGATTGGGAACTGTCACTTACACAACTCTTTAACTTTCCTTACCCCCAAGAATAGCTTGGTAGACTTGCTTCTGCCGAAGGTTAACTGACTATCCTCTAATGAAGTCTTCAGGCTTTTTGTAGTTTCAGGAACAGAATCAGACCTGTCAATCCCAAGCAAAAAATAGATTCCTTCTAATGTGGATGGACACACATCAGCAGATGGAATGCTTTTACTAGTGGTGCATGTGTAGAGGGACATCTGGCACACAGCATTTTTTTTTGCCTTGAGAAACAGCATGTTTGCAACTCTAGCAAGTTTCTCTGTTTCTGACATGGCAACAAATCAGAAATCTGTTCCAAATGTGCATTTCTTGTCATTGAGCCTGTGGATGATGGGAGCAAGGAAACTGGATAGCTTTTGGACCTACTACAGCCACTAGGATTTATAATTAAAAGCGCCCGCATGCCACGTGTATCAGCGGCACAGTGCGCCTCCACGCTCAGCAAATGGTGGAGGTGTGCTTTGAACTAAAGCCCATCGAATGGGTTTTAGCTCAAAGCGCACTGCTGCCATTTTCTCAAGGCAGAAGAATGCTGCGCTGCTGATGAACATGACACGCAAGGCTGCCAGAGTGCATCAATTTACATACTCTGACATACTGGATTTCTAGTGTGTCAGAGCAGGCTCTCCATGTGTGTGTAAGTGCCCTAAAAGTCTAAACTAGTGCATTGGTGGTGATGGTTACAAAGACTGGTCTTTGCTGATATATGCACTCATGCTTGCCAGGTCTATAATCTGGACTCTGTCCTCTAACAATAAGCTGTGTCCTTAGCAAACATGGATTGCTAGTTGCTTGGTTAAATTTTTGTTAGTCCTTAGCAACCATCTCTGATGTGGAGGTGGAAGGGCTGAGAAGTGTCATGGCTTTTAATCTCAGCAAAAACTAAATTCAATCCCCTGCATGTAATATCCTCCAGGACAATAACCGTGTTGCTCATAACCCAAGAAGTCCTCCATTATGCAGTATTTCCCCTGTACCATACTTACTCAAATCCAAGATAGGGTTTGTCGTTTTTTTTATCTCCATTCAACAAAGAGGAAAAAGCCCCTGTTCTTGGATTTTAGTACAGGGTGGGGAGAAACAGGCAAATGCTCTGACTCTGGCTCTGACCCCAACTCAGATCTGTAGCCTCTGCTTACCCCCTTCCTCCTTTCCCCCTCACCCCTCCTCCACCTGGGGTAAGGGCTGGAGCTGCCACTGCTGCAACTGCTACTCTGTGGTCAGGTGGGGGCGTGCCCTGAGACAGACAGAGCCCTGATTGAGACTAATCAGCCAGCACATACAAGCACATGGGGGCAGGCAGCGGTAGGTGAAAGTGGTGGAGGGCAAGCAGTAAGGGGCAGGGGTCAGGCCACCTGCCCCCTGCCACTGCTTGCCTCCTTGCTGTCACTTTCCCCATTGCAGTGGGGGGAAGGGTGACACGAATGTAAGATCTCTCCTATAATTAGGTTCTATTCATAGAAAACTATAAAGAAATTTAAAATTTTCCATATATAGAATCTAATTATGGGGTGGGGGTCATCTTAAATTTGAAGTTGGGTAAATATGGTAATACTAGAGATGGTAAATGCTTACTGCCAAGCTCTGGGTCCTTCTTCCTCTACTGGTTGTCCATAGCCCACCCTACACCAATCAAAAGAATATATCCCCAGACTGTCACCTAGCCCATCCACCCAGGGGACCTGAATTAGGCTTGCTGCACTGTATTCTGTTCCTGAATACCAGGCTCTCTGATGCTTCCTCCGTCCCCTTGGCCTCTGCTTTGCAAAGCATGCCTCCTTGTTCATGATACGGTTACACAGGAGTTTGGGTTCTGTCTTGGGCAAAAATAACAAACACCCAATAAAAGTCTTCAGAGTGGGAGCAGGTAGACAAAGAATTGCCAAACTTGTCCTTCCCATTTGATTGACAGTGAATGGATTCGAGTCACTTAATTTGTGTTGAAAGGCAGGCTGCCTCATCCCCATCTCTATCAGGCTCTTTGAACTGTTTTCCACATAAATGCATTTTTCTCGTGCTTATTCCAAAATCAGAGGCCCTGCAGTCCTCATAGCAAAGGTTAACCAGAACCTCTACATGCTCCTCCTAACAGCAGTGGGGAGGGAGCACCTTCTGTTTAGGTCAGCTGGACTAAATTGTACCAACAATGGAATAGGTCCTGGACAACAGTGACCAGATGGATGTAAGTCATAAATTAGCTTCTTAATAGCATAACAAAGCAGGGGTGACTGGGGACTTAGAAGGGAGGGGTGTAAAAATAGCAGCAGCTGAACTGTCCCATGTGGCACTGCTGCCCAGGGTGCTCAGGTGTCCAGTTGCATCTTTGTAGCTTCCAGTGTATTGGAGGATAGTGGGAGGTTAGCAAGTAGAAGGGCTAGTACATACAAGTCCTGGGCACTGTGGAAGAGAACTGAAAGGCTATCCAACTGTGAATTCAGTGGCACATACTTAAGCTGCAGAATAGGCAAATTAGAGCACATTTCAAGATGCAGCATTTGCTTCGCTCCTGACTACTGCAGACCACAATGGCACAGGTTCTCTCTGCCCTCAGTCATCTAGTTAAAGAGTTGTATGGGGATGGGGTGGGCTGATGGATGAGAACATGTTCTGCAGCATATCCAGATTACTTACCTATGCATCCTAATTATTCCTATAGCAATGGGCACTATAAAAGTGCTGTCCTTGAAACAATGCCACGACGAATCCTATTTTTATTATTTTACTTGTATATTACAAGAACATTTATATCACCCCCGTAGTTCTGGGTGGCAATATCTAACACCAGTCCACGCACACAGTCCAATTTGCTTTGATTGTTGGTACAGTCTGAAGTCTTGGGTTGCTCAAAAGGCTGCTCAGATTCTATACTGCTGGGAAAGAAATTATATCGTACTTTGTAAATTTACCTATATAAATTGGAAGCCAGAATTTTCCCCCCTCAATTTTCCCTTGTTTTTTCTGGATTATCCCAGAATCTGGAAGGGTATTGCCCAGTTCAAGGCTTTTAGTACATTTTTTTTCTCTCTATGAAATACATACTTAGAAAATAATCTAAAATGAGTAGCCAGTATGTGTTCAGTATATTTCTTGTGAGCTGCTTTGCAGAACAAAATCATTTGTGTTTCTTAATCAAACTTCAGACTGTTACACACTTACTAATTTAATTTGCATTTGCATGGACATAAGTCAGATTAAAATACTAGAGTATTTCAATAAACTTGCAGTAATAAAAAGCATCAATTCATCAGCTGGTTCAAAGAAGTCTTGAACAAACTGTCTGCATCCAAGATACAAGGAGATGGGAGGAGCTTTTGATGTTTTCTTAGTCTAATCTGTCAAATGTCAATATATAACAGGCATTTTCAAATGATTCCAAATGAGCTAACATTTATATCTACATGTCTTTAAGTTAAGAGGAAAGAAAGGTGACAGATGAAAGTTTGCTTTTGTAAACCTATTTAACTGTGAAGGGCTGATATCCCACAAATCTTTTTATTTGCTAACCTGGTACACATTATCACATAGCTAAGTCATTGTGATATGGGATATCAGTTTTGGTTTTTGTTGTTTTTTTCATTTGCTTCAATCTATGAAAAATACTCATTGAGGGGTATAACCATCCATTTCTTACATGTATTTTTGCCAGTTTCCTTCGTAAGCGTAGACTTAGAGGACTTCATTGGAAATCAAACTGTTTATTTCTGACCTTCTCAGCTGTTCATTGGACCACCTTAATAAAAACAATGGTTGCCTCTATGGAGGATCAGGTGAAACCATGGCTGGAAATGTCCTTGGATCAGCTCTTTATTTCTGTTTAGCTTACTTCTTGGTTGTACAGATATTTGACTTCTATGCTGATCGTTAACAGAGTACCGTACCTTGGGAACTGTAACATTTATATAAGCTTATAAAATACATATGAACAATTGTAAATTACAGTTGTCTTTGCCAGTTTCTTCAGCTTGTGCAAACAGTTTCATTCTGCTTTTGGCTAGAAGCTCAATTTTTGTGCAATATAAAAATCTGTCAAATTAGTTTCCAGTGCTATTGTCAATACATGCAGTTGCCACTTCTCTTTATGGTATGTTAATCACAAGACCTGCCGATGGTATTTTTATTTTTACTGATGGTAAAGACAAAGCTTTGATCCCCTTTCTGAAGATACTGCTTTAGTGTTTCTTGTTGGCTTAAGTCCACCTAAAGTTAGCTTCTTGCCAACACTAAAGTTCAACTTAAAAATCATTTTTGAAAAACAGCCACCCTGAAACTAAGCTGAACTTCATTGCAGTGCAAAATAATTCCTATGTGTATGTGTGTGTGTGTGACTGACCATAGTCTGCCTTCAGTTACATCCTATGCAATGTTATTCACTTAAATTTGATGTGTAGATTTCTATACAAGCTTATCATCCAATAAGAGTGAAGGTAAAAAAAAACAAGCAAAACATTTAGTCTGTATACATAGTTGTTATCCCATAATCGTGTATAAATCCTCCCACTAGAGTTAATTCATTCTTTACTTATTAAAAAGGAAATAATATTTTCAGTTTGACCTAGGAATGGATAAAATAAAATTCAGGAAAAAAATCTCAGTTCAGATAAAATAAAAACACCTTTTAAAAGCTTTTGAAAGTTTGGATAATTTCCCCCTACTCCATTGTTTGTATATTTTCCTTTCATACCTCTCTGCGCTTCCTGGTTCCAGCTGGGAACAAAAGTGCTGTGATACAAATTTCTGAGCAGTTATTTTGGTTTAATCAAAATGAGAAAGTACCAGAAATCTGACAAGAAAGCCAGTTCTTACAAGATTTTCTGTCCTGTTTTACAAACCAAAGGCGTTCAGATAAGGTTTGACCAACACCCAAAATATCTTGGAATGCTGGAAACTGAACCAGTATTAGTCTCTTCAGCATTGCCTGGAAACCTTTAGATAATGGACATTCTTGTTAAAAGAGAGCCAGTCTTCATTCAGGTAGTAAGGTAATTAAAATGGGCAAGAATGTTATACATAAATTTTCCTACATAAACAAGTCCTTGGAGTTTCTGAAGGGAAGGGGTTGAATCAAAGAAGACAAGTTGTGATTCTGTCACGTTGTAATCTTTTTAATTTTAAAAGATTTGTAACACAAGCTACTGATCCGGTTTCCTTAACATTGAGCTTGTTTTGTAAATCTTATTGAAATGTATCAGTTAAATTAGACTGAAGATTATATTTTGTTATTGAATGTAATTTTGTGGAAGACATTAAAATATATATTATTTTCTATTTAGTTTAGATGTGTGTATTTTATGACTCTAAAGATTTTACTAACTACTTAAAATGAGATAAAGACAACATTTTAATGAATACACAGAAGAAAGCACAATTTAACACTTAACCTTACATTTCTGACTTCTGATTATTTTAGTTAGCTTTAGTCAGCATGCTAGGGCTTTGGTCTTACAAATGCTTAAATATTTTATCTGCTCAACCTGCTTCTATTGGCCTCCATTTTTTTTCCAGATAAAACAGTCTCCTAGTAGATTTTATTCATATAGCACATGTTCATTTTGAAAACCTTTTCAAACCACTCTTCATATTTACCTTATCTGTTTCCCTGTTTATAAAAGAAATCTTGTCCTCTGCCTAATCTGTCTAGCTCTGAATTTGCTTCTGACAATGCTTACTTCTAAGCTAAAGTAAGGCCACCAAGTATTGCAGGAACCTCTAGGTGAGGATTAAGCTAATTTTAAAGAGAAATCCTCTTATTTGAAATATTCTGTAAAGCTGTAATATTTTAAAATATGAAACTGTAAGGTGCTAGTACTTCAAAAACTTGCTTAGGCTAATGTTGCCCTTTTTGCTTAGTGGAAGGCCAGGAATAATCAATCTTTTCAAACAGCTCCACTAACTTTGCCAACATACTGCTGTGAAAAACAACAGCCTATAAAACATTCTTTAAATTTTTTAAGGAACCGTTATCTTAAGAGGAATAAACCAGTGGCAACCTCAATAAGTTTAGAATTGTAAGGTCTTAGAAATCATAATATCAATATCCTTTTCCGTAACATAAACAAACAAGCACAAAGGAATCGGCTATTTCTTTCTAAACACAAGATAAAACAGCACACGCTACACTGTCATATAGGCTAGGAACAGACATTACACATAAACTGGGTTAAGTGATCAGAAACTGGTTTAAACCTGTAACAGAACAGATGTTCAGTGCACATAAACCAGTTTGAAAATGGCTGAAACCAGTTTGAGATAAACCTGGCTGAATGTAATACCAGACTTAACTGATTTAGGTCAAACCGGTTTATGCAATGTCTGTCCCAGACCCCTTGATGGTTTAAGATAAACCAGACTCCTTCAGCATCCTGGCATGCTCTCTGGGCTGGGCGGGACTTTCTGTTCTACAGCAGGGCTGGCCCTTCCCCTCTGCTCCCTGGCTGCAGCTCCGGCAGAGACTGCAAGCACAGCAGGGTCTGCCTGGCTTCCCACTGCCCTCCCCATACCCGCTCACTGCTTAAGCAGGAATCCCTGCTCCCTCCTATCTCCCACAGCACGGATCCCAGCCCCATGGACTGTAGGCATGTGGTATGCTAGCTAATGCTAAGAAGAGTCTATGTGTGTCTCTCTCAAATTTGACTGGGACACGCAGACAGAACAGTGACCACTTAGGACTTTTTGGAGCTAATTAACAGGTCAGCTGGTAAGCTGTTTAAGAAGAATTTGAACTAATGGAGAGAGACTATTGGTTTGCTGATGGGGTGATAAACACTTATCAGCCCTCTGCTGGCTTTCTTGCCTGTCAGTTTGCTTCAACCAGTATAAAGAAGCAGGGAGGGAGATTGAAAAACTCCATATCATCAACAGAGGCATGCACTGCACACACACCCTTGCCTCAGAGTGCTAGCAGGGGGCTGGGGTCTGACAACACTCCCACCCCTTGAGCAGCCAGCGGGGAAAAGCCTGGGACAGTGCAGTCAGGCCTCCCTAATGAGAGGTCCTGCCAGGGCCTGGTCACACCCCCCCCCCCCCCCCCCCCTCAGCTCAACACTGTACAAAGGAAGGGAAGGTGCTAGAGCAGCCCTCTGGTTTCTAAGAAATAAGGAACACACAATTAGTGACCACCTGAGAAAATGCTGGTTCAAGAGATTTGTCCAGTATCACACAGGAACTCTGGCAGATGCAAAGGTAGAATCCAGTTCTTCAGGGCTTTAATCATGAGACTGAAAAGATTCTCTTTTTGCAATCTTCAAACCTTCCAACTCCTGCAAGAAATTAAGCAAGACTCCTGTAGGCAATAGTGCCCTTTGCTGCCCAGGCCTGACTCATCCCCAGAGCAGGCCCAGCCTGATCACTCTGGGAGGCAAAAATCCTGTCTAAAATTGTGAACATGTACTTTAAGACTGTCATAATACACAAATCATGATTGCACGGGTTTCCTAAATTCAAGTATTTCCAAGTTCCGAATTCCTGATTTTATGACCTTTAACATTCTTTTGACTGAGTTTTTTAAATGCAGTTTCCTATTTTAAACAATTAAAACAGAAATTCCAAATGTGAAAACAGCACCGATCTCTACTAATTAAGTTTTAGCAGCTGGTGGCTACAGAGGACCGCTCGTTAGATCAGATGTAAGGTGCACACTTTGCTAGTGAATTTCACAGCTTTTTACTGACAGCAGCAGAATGTAGACACAGAATAGGCAGTGCCAGATATGGAGAGGGCAGTTCTAGTTCTGGTCCTAGATCCTTCTATGTCTCTGCCTTTCCCTTACTGCCATCTAAATCCCAACCCCACTCTCCTGTCCACACAACTCAGGAAAAAATCTTCAAATAGTTTTTCTACTAAACTCTTAAGGAGTTTCTACTGACCATGTTTAGACTGAGATTGTCAAGAGACTTATAACTTGGCCAAAGTTAGGAAACTTTTAATTGAGGCAAATACTGTGCACCCCGACACCAGAACAACCCTCACTTGCAAAATTTCAGCTCCCTGGTCCACAGCACAGAGGTCCCATAACTTCTGAATGATGTGGTTTTAAGATTTTTTTTTTAATCGTAGTAATCCATGTATTTTCCCTAACATTATTCTCACAAACACTTAAGTTGTTTTATCTCATATTTTCCCAGGAAGATTCCGCCTCAGTTGAACACAATGGAAAATCCCACTCCAAACGGCTGAAGCTTGAAAAAAGTTATAAGCAACTGAAAACGGAGGCTTATAGTGTAATACAAAACTGTCAGATAGCTTCATTTACTGGCAACACTACCAATTGCCTTAAATTAATGGACAATAGCTATGCATTTCCCAGTAGACACAGAGAAGTTTCTATTGATTTCCTCACAGAAAATGAAGAATTAAAATATTCCAATGTAAAACCAAAGCCAAGCTCTGGTGCCTGTATGTCAATCTATAACAGGGGTAGACAAAATGGCAGATCCAGCTGGCAGCTGGACTCCATTTCCCAGCAGCCTCTGACTGCATTGCTGTGGCCGGTTTCCATGGAGACCCCAGCAACAGCAGGGCCGTGACAGTGTGAGGCCAGGGTTTCCATGGAGACCAGCCCCAGCAACACTGGCAGGGCACATGGCTGGGTGGGGTGCTGCTCCGGGGCTGGGATCTTGCAGCAGTGACAGCATGGTCTGGAGCTAGGGCAGGACTACGATCTGCTGCCCACACACCCCAGGCAGACACGTACAGGCAGCTCTGCCCTGGCTCCAGACCACGCTGTCACCTCTACAAGATCCCAGCACAAAATTCTGCCACAATAGATATTCACCTGAGATCCTCTTCCAATTCCTCCTGGGTTGAAACAAAGTAGAAATAGAAGGAAGCCTCCAAAAAAAACCTGAAAAATATGCAAAAATGTGTGCAGTGGTTCAAATGGAGCAAGAGGGGTTCTGGTCTTCTACAAATATTTTAAGAAGACTGGAAAACTCTTATTTTATATTTATACTGGAAAACTCTCATTTATATTTATACCATCAAATGCCTGTCAAGAATGGCAGGTGGGAGTGGGCGGGGACAGAACCCCATGCCCTCTCCCCCTTTCCCGCTGGGAGAGGGAAGGAGCAGGCCCATCCCCAATGCAGGGGATGTGGGAGAAACCAGGTCCAAGGCTGGGAGAAGCTGGCCCGCCGCAGAACCAGGGAGTAGCGGGCCCAGGCCAATGTGGGGAAGGAGGAGATGTGCTGCATCGGGCCAGGCCCGCTGCTTTCCCCCCACACTGCTGAGTCAGGCCTGCTCCTCCCCCACCGCATCAGGCCCAGGCCCACTTTTCCCCCCACCGCCACTACGGCATGCCTGTTCCTCCCCCACCTCATATCGGGCCCGTACCTCACCCCGCTGCTGCTGCGTCCGCCTGCGTCAGCTCTGCAGGTGGCGATGACAGATGTGAGGAGGGGGCAGGCCGAGGGCAGCACTGGTGGCCTCACCCCACCCCCCCTGTGGCTCCCTTCCTGTGCCACCGCTGCCACCTCAAAGGAAGAAGGGGGGGCCTTGACTCCTCTGTTCCATCTGCTCTGTTGCTGCTGCCTCCAGGGAGCAGGGCAGGCGTGGGGGGTGAGCTGTGCTGGCCTCGTCCCCCACACCACTCCATCCCCTGTGTCCCCGCCATCATGGTGGCACACTGCCACCTCCTGTCCGAACGCTATATTCGCACACTGATTGGCTGTTTGTCAGCCAATCAGAGTACAAATAAAGCATTATGGACAGACAGACAGACTAAGGCTTTTATAATATTAGAATATCTGTTTTCCTAGCCTACTTTTTCATTACACACTTGCCTTTTTTCTGGTCTTCCATTCTTTTCTTGTTGCTGATGGTTTGAGAATTCTCTCCCCTTCAGTTCCTTCATCCTTCTTTTTCCCTATAATTGATTCTCCACATATTTTCCAAACTTATCTGGAACCAATTATTTCTTTGCTTATATTTCTTTGTCTCTGTTCATTAACACCTAGAAGTGCTTAAAAAGGTGGGAAACAGTGACCACAGAGTAATTAGTAAATGGAGGCTGACATCTTGGGAACCAGATTCAGAAACCAAGAGAGGAAAGCGGGGAGCTAAAATGAAATAGACATGCCAGACAATTATTAAACAAAATATATAGTATACAAGTTTCAAGGACAAGACAGGCTAAATGTTAAAATAATTAAGGAGTTGGATGAATAGATTGAGGATCTAATATTATATTGGACAAGTATATTGGGATGGGTAAAGCACAGTATTAATTAAAATTAGGGGAGG